AGCCTAGGGGGCGTTAAAAAGAGATGGTTGATAGCCACAGTTGTTTTCATAAGTAAGAGGGACATGGACAATAGCAGACGTTAGAGGTTAGTTGATCACGGTGGGAGAATGGTCTTCTTTTCTGAGTGTGGAGTTGCCCATGGTGTTATCAAAGGAATTGTTGCGTAGATTGGCAGGCTGGACTAAATTAATTCTGATTTCTTTGATTCTTGAATCTCTGGCAGAACATAGATGTCACTTTCGTTTCTAAAATTCTGGGAGTGTGTTGGTCAGTTTTCTATTGGTGAGACAAACTGTCTAAGGTGATCAATCAGTTTTTAAGGAGGAATGGCTTATTTGGGCTCACAATTTCAGGTTTTGTTTGTGTGTTTTATCTATGCTCACTTGGCCCTAACTCTTTGAACTTGTAGCAAGGCTGAGCATGGTGGTGGGGAACATATAGCCCAGTGAAGATGCTCAACTCATGGCAGCAAAGAGAGAACCCATCAGAGATCCCAGTGTCCCTTTCAAGAGCATAGCCCTAGTGGCCTAGCTTCCTTCTGTGGTGTCTTACCTCCTAGGATTTTGTCTCCACAGGGCCTTATGCTGGCAACTGAGAACATTTAATATACAAAGCATAACAAGACATTCAGTATAAATGAATGTTAAGCCATGCTTTTATGCCCAGGAATGGCATGAACCAACCAGCCCCATTCCTTATTATAAACGCTTGTGCCCATTATCAATAATATGATACTATATTCTGTAATCCTTTATAGTTTATAAATTAAATGAAATCATGCATTCACTGGCACGATTTCAGTTAATCTTAACAACTTCATAAGGTAGATAGTTTTATCTGTCTATCACAGGCCAGGAGGAAACATTCTAGAAAGTGACAGAACGACAAGATTAGGTCTGGAATCTCGATTTTCTGCTTCAGAGGCCAATGCTTTCTCCACCTATGAGTCATGGTGCCTCCCGATAAGTAGATTGGATAGTCACTAGGCTGAGCACGGTCAAAGGATGCTGGAACCATACGTGCTTACGGTTCCTCTCCCCAGGGAAAACTTTTAGGAGGGACCCATTTTGTCTCACTTCCAAAGGCAGTCCTTCTGGGCAGGAGAGATAGGCCCATGGGGTGAATCAGCCTCCCCAGCTTACGTAAGGACATAGAAACTCATGGCCATGGCGGTATCATTTAGGAAGCATGTGCCTTCGACCAGGCCCTTTAAATTATATTAGCTTATTAAATCTTACCAAGCCTAAACCAAACAAACAAGTCAACGTAAAAAGGCAGAAGGCAAAATCCTCAATCTCCAATATTTTTCCTGGTCTAAATGCCAGTTAGAATGAACTCTTAAAGTCAGAGCCATGAATCTTTGGACACAGTTCTCATTGAAGCCGGCCTTAGCAGGCACCCAATAGAGCTGGACCTCAGGGTCTCTCACTGGGATTTCTCACTGTATCAACTTGCCCAGCTCATTTCATTCACCATTCAGTGGTGCACCTCATACCAGCCATATTTAGCAGCCCACACACCACGGCATAGCCAAATATTCTGGCTTATTAGTCCCATCCTACTCAAGGGGAAAAAAAAGAATGAAATTTGAAGAAATGAATAATTTAAGATGAAATGATCTGTTATTTTTTTCAACAGAATTGGTTCATGGGTTGGGATATTGGACTAGAGGAATTATGATTTGTTTGATTCTTGAATTTTGGGGAGAACAAAGAGATGGATTTCATTCCTGCAATTCTAAGAGTATTGTGGGGTTGTATCCACAGCCTGTGCCCCAGGTTTCCTGCTTAAAGATGGCTTGGCCAGTTCATTGCCTTTCCTCTCTGAATATTGTGCTGACGGCATGATGCCAAGCTCCTCACCAGTTTGATTTTCCTTGCCCCTCTCTTTCCCCAGAGATTACCTTGTCTAGGAATCAGAAATCACTGCAGGATTTGACTTCATGCGTCTCTCAAGCCCCCTTTGCCTTTGATGGTTTTAGGAAATACTTCCTGGCCAATGTTAAACCTATGGGAATCCTAAGATTTCATAAATGGAAAAGTTGAGCCAACAAGTGTTATGTATGGAGACTCCCTCATGTGAGGGACTTCTGCAAGGATTTGTTAAAGAGGCAGGGACTGTACGCCTAACTTTGCAGCACGTTACTGGTCTGTGTATTGGGAATCTAGAGGCATCCATAGGGTCTAGAGAATGTGAAAGGCTTCCTTAAAGAAGCCAGGCCTGCTCTGGCCCTGTGTGGTACCATAGTTGAAGGATACAGGGAAACAGTGGCAAGGAAGGTATCTAAACATTGACATTAGCTGAAGGAATGGATACACTATACATCCGGGTCTTGCAGGGCTTTGACTTAAACTGACCGGTGCCTACACCGTTGAAATGACTTTGATAGCCAACAGCAGGGGAGAATGTTGAAAATGACATCAACCATAGAGTTCTGAGTTTGCCGGGAGCAAATGTGGGCACAGGTGGCCTGTAGCTGCTGATTAGACCTGTGTCTTCAGCTAAGTTGTGAACACAGGGAATCGCCATCCTGGGGCTTGGCAAGACTTCAGGCATGTAGCACTTGGTTTATTCTGTAAAAAGATGAAGCACAGTAATGTTGGGTGTTAACCCAAACGGTTACAACCCTTTTAAAGTTTGGGACACTGGTGTGTATTGTCTTAGTTCTGTGGAAATTCTCATTCCCTCATATTGTATTGAGTGCCAAACAAATGGTTCTCTGTAGGCGAGAGTGTGCACAGCTCTTGGAGGCATTTGTAAACTTGGCGTGAGAGTACGTCAGCTCCTGCACTAACTTGTCAGTCTGGGCAGCTGGCCAGGACCTTGCCTGGCTCTGAGTTACCCTGGTGCCTCTGTGAGATGACGGGGCTGGAGAAGGAGTGGGATGCCTGGTCTTCTCTTCTGTGGCTCCTAGGAGATGAGTTCCTCTGACCGTGGAACAACACTAGCCCTATCCCTGGGACATTCTTAAGGACTTGCCCCCGTGTTGGCAGCCAGGGGCCTTGTTTCAACCTGTCCTGGGCCATGCTGGGAGGTGGCAGGGTAGGAACTCCGCTAGAGTGGGGCAAGGACAGAAGTCACTTCTAAAGATGGCACTTGTGGGGTGAAGACATTGAGCAGCAGTACTGTTTTCTCAGCACATGAGTCCATGGGATTATCTGGGCCCCTCCTTATAGTCAGGGTGAAATCAAAACCCAGAAAACCCCACAAGGTTTGTTTTGAAGATGAGCCTGGGGATAAATTCTGCCTTTAGATTCTTACCTTTTTTTTTTAAGGATTTGTTTATGTTACTTTTTTATAGTTTATATGTACCTGCAGAGTTTATGTCCCCCACGTGCATGCAGGAGTCCACAGGAGCCAGAAGAATGTATTGGATCCCCTGGAGTGACAGTTCCCTGGGACCTCTACTAGAGTAACCAGTGCTTCATGGCTAAGCCATCTCTCAGTCCTACCCTCCAGTTCTTAACTTTTGATGAGGGGAGAATTTTCTGTCATAATCCGGGCACCTAGAGAAATTCTTCTGCTGTTATAGAAGCATGGGATGAACTAGTGTGAGTCAGTGTGTCTGCATATAACTGGAGCTTATTTTCATGCTTAGGGGCTTCGTCTCGCCTCAGGCCCAGCGGTTTGGAAAATTAGTACGTGGGCAGAGCCAGAAGAGCCGCAGCAATGTGCAAGGAGGCGTGTGTATGATGGGGTGGATACACCTTTAGGTACAGTCGGGGTGATGGAACGCTTGCCCCTCTCTGGAGATAGTCACAGCGGAGGCTGGGGCAAAGATGAAGCCACATTGAGCAGAGCTCAGGGCAACACAGAGACTCGCAATGAAGCCCTTCCAGTCAAGAGCAACGTCTTGCATCCAGCGCTGTCCTGGTGCCTACCTGGCCCCCATGTAGTCCAGAGGAAAGCACTCTGCCAGTTCTTCAAGCAGAGCTCAAAGGGAGTGGGGGTGATTTAGGAGGGGGACAAGAGCTGCAGCTGGTTGGTTAAGGGCTGCACGGTCGGTAGGAAGTGACGGTCGTACTGTGAGAGGTCATCCAGGAATCCGAGGCAGTCCCTGTCTTGGAGTTCTGGCTATTGTAAATAATCCCTATAAGTCCATCGTCTTAGAGTGCTGGGAAGGAGACTGGAGGGCGAGAGAAAACAGCGGTGGTATTTAGCACACTGGGGTTGGGGAGTGACTTCCGAAGCTGCAGGCGTCAGAACACACAGCACAGGGTGAAGAGCTCTAGCATCTAGGTTGTCAAACTGCACCAAGCCCTAGTCAGACTACAGCGCATACCATGCCTTTGTGTGGCTCATGGGTTTCTGTACCTTCACTTTCTTGCCTGGAGTGATCATGAGGGTCAGATGAGATGGGGTGGATGAAAGCCCTTCCTACATCATTGCTGGTTGATCTTGTCTGAAACAGCTCCCAGCATGCACCTGGGTGTGGGTGTTATCACCTGGTTCCAAGATGGCAGCTTGGAGCTGTCATCTGCCACGCGTCCAAGACAGCAAGGGCTCCAAGGATCTTAAGAACAAATGATCTTAGCTGAAGCCTCATTTTAAGCTGGCATTGCCTCACAGGGAGGCAGGCCATCACTGTCATCTGGGAGACAAGCTCCTTAGACCTGGAGCAGCATAGTGCGTGAAACCAAGCATTAACAAGGGCTTCAGAAATGTGACCATTCGTTCCTGATCCCTATGACCAAACTTCCTATCTTTGGGTGGGTCTGGGGCTCCTCAGTTTTCTGTTTTTCTTTGTAAACTAAGGACAAACAGGAAAAGTTTTGTGTACACCAACCCTAAGTCTCAGTTACAGGTTGTAACTTTCTTCTCTTCCAACAACTGGCTGGATGGAATATGGGAATGACAGCCTTGTGGGGAGTGTAGGAGCCAGCAGACTTCCGTGGGAGGTTACCCTGACTTGCAGTTACTGACTGCCACAGAAGGCTCTTCATTTCAGACCTGCTGTATTCTGTGAAAACCTGCATTAATTCTTGCCCTTGCTTTACAGCATCCAGCGAGCAGCGTTGGTGGTTCTGGAAAACTACTACAAGGACTTCACCATCTACAACCCAAACCTTCTAACGGCTTCTAAGTTCCGAGCAGCCAAGCACATGGCTGGCCTGAAAGTCTACAATGTAGACGGTATGTGCTTGAAACTGCTGGTGGGATGTGACGGCTGTCACCTGAACTCCACGGTATATTTGTCTCTCCCTGTCCTCCATGCTTGCCTTATAGACCTTCCTCACTTCAGGACAATTTGTTTCTGTTTTAAATGTAGGCAAACATGTTTTCCAGAGCAATGTCAGTTCACAGTCTGCCTGTATGGCAAGTTTATCTGTTTGGGGACATTGGTGTTGGAAACTATAGCTGTGTTTCCTGTCTCCTGCTGGGAACACCTTAGGTTGGAAGCTCTTAAGAATTCTGAAGGCTTTTCAAAATCTGAACAGATTACCCAGAGACAGAGAATGTTCCTCCAAAGGCATTGGGCCTAGAAATATCAGTGGTTCAGGCGCCCAGGCACTCCTCTTGGGCTTTTCAGCCCCGGCAAGGAGCAGGAGGTGAATGGTGACAAGAAGCTGGAGCCAGACTAGAGGAGTCGGAGCCCAGTTTCATTGAGGGTGTCAAGTGCTTAAGTGTGAGAAACAGGACTCCGTGTCATTTCTTGCTGGGCACCTAGGATAAGACAAGGGCTTTGCAGACTCCAGAAGAAAATCATGTTGTCAGCCAGTCAGCCGAATTACATAGGTATCAGCTTTGGTCACTCTCTTTTTTTTAATATTTGACGATATAAGGTGTAAGTTTCACCCCATGGAAAAACTTAGTGAAAGCAAGTCCACAGCAGCAGCAGCAGGTCACCTAGCAGGAACTGAGGTCTTGCTGTGTGTTTCCAATAGCTAAGTGGGCAGTGCTCAGGGTGACACAGGACTTCTGAGTCTCTCCGCAGAGGGGGCGTTTTGTAGTCGCTGGCGTCTGGGGTGATGACTTTCCGTCCGACCCCGGCCTGACTTGTTTTCCTGTGTGTGTTCACTGTACATGTCCTTTGACTTTCTTTTTTCTCTGTCTGTCCTTGTCCTCCCTTCCTGCTCACTCTCTCTCATTGTTTGCTGCATGTGATGTCCCAGCTGCCCTTATGGCCAAACTGAAACTTTGTGTGGCAGATGGTAAGTGACATCTTCGGCGCACTCTGGCGGGTGTTGTTCTTGGCCAATGTTTTCAGTAGCGAACCTTCTGCAGCCCTTTGGAGTTTTTTTTCTATGTCCCTGCCATCCTGGGGTTAGATGTCTTGGCTGCTGTGACTATGGAGTACCGTGCCCAGGGGAAGTTACTTTCAGGTTCTGTGTGTGCGTCCTCCATAGGGGTGGGAGGGAGGGGACCGGCAGACACCGGTACTGTTTTCCTGCTCCATTTCCCGGCCTTTGGTGTTAAAGCTATTCTACCGTTCTGCTTTCGTCAAAGGGCCCAGTAACAACGCCACTGGCCAGTCCCGAGCCATGATTGCTGCGGCTGCTCGGCGCAGAGACTCCAGCCACAACGAGTTGTACTATGAGGAGGCTGAACACGAGCGGCGGGTGAAGAAGCGGAGAGCAAGGTTTGTGGCCCTCACGTGCCTCCCGCCTCTGGTTGGATATTTTATTTTCACTGTTTTTAAACCTCCAGGGTTAATTTTCCGTTTGTAAACATGACCTGTGTGACTGTCTACACTCCACTATACTCTCGAGTCTCTCAGACTTGGTGTGTGTAATCATCACCAGACATACTTCTAACCACGTCACAGGTTCTGGGCCCACTCACATAGCTTACCGCACAGTCTGTGGATCTGGGGTTGGGCCTGGGAATTTACATCGAAAGCAGACTCCCAGGGGACTTTTCTGCTGCTGCCCTTGGGGAGGGCCAACCCCACCCACATTGTTTCCCATGTTAATTGAAGGTGGCAGAGGTGGCTTCCCTTATGCCTGCTACCTCATTCTTCCTTTTCCTGAGCTGCTGGGGATGGGAGGGAGGATGGATCATGGGGGCCAAAGATCTGTTTGGTTTTTTTTTTTCTTTCTATTTTTGTAGCCCAGGCAGGCTTTGAACTCTCTGGGTAGCTGAGGGTTACATTGAACTTATTTTTTTTGAAACCCTTAACACTTATCGGTTTGTATGTCTGTGGGTGTGCATGTACACAGGTATCTGAGTACATGTACATGTGTGCCACAGTGCGCATGTGTCTCAGGACAACTTTGGGGATTGGTTCTTTCCTTCCACTACCTGAGTTCCAGCGGTCAAATTCAGGCTGTCAAGCTTGGCAGGGGTCTTTACCCTGAGCCATCTTGTCAGTGTGACTTCTGACCCTGCCTCCACCTCCTGATGCTAGGTTACAGGAATGTGCCAGCACATGTGGTCCTGGGCATTTTTCCCAGGTCCTTGTGGTACTGGGCAAGTGTTCTACCAACTAAAGCTTCCCCAAGCGAGCCTGGTTCTCCATCAGCCGCTTCTGCACACCCCCTTCCTCTTCCCAGATGGAGCTGAGCGGAAGTCATCTTATCTCACCTTTTATTGGAGAAACTAAAACACAGGTTAAAGTGAGTTTTCTGAGCTCATTACTGACAGAACCGAGAAGTCCCCGGGACGGCTCCCCCACCCTTTCTCCCAGGGCTCTTCCCATCCCCTGGAGAACAGCTAGGGATGAGCCGTGCGACAGAACCTTGGGGAAGTTTGTGGTAGGCCAGGGTGCTGCAGTGGGCAAGAGGTCCTGTGGGTCTTAAGGGACAGTCCTAAACCATGCAGTGGGCACTGCCTTGCTGACCGTGCTGCGTCTCCTTCCAGATTGGTGGTGGCAGTAGAAGAAGCCTTCATCCACATCCAGCGTCTCCAGGCTGAGGAGCAGCAGAAATCCCCTGGTGAGGTGATGGACCCCAGGGAGGCTGCTCAGGCCATCTTCCCGTCCATGGCCCGGGCGCTGCAGAAGTACCTGCGAACCACGCGGCAGCAGCACTACCATAGCATGGAGAGCATCCTGCAGCACCTGGCTTTCTGCATCACCAACAGCATGACCCCCAAGGTGCGCTGCTGGGGTTGGTGGGCAGACCGGTGCCTGAGTTTTGCCAGTCACCCGGCAGTCTGTGTCACCCTGCTGCTCACCACATTACTTAGATTTCTTTGTTTGTATGCACTTGTGTGTTTCTGTGTGAGTATCTCCCGTGTGTGTTTAGATGCCTCAAAAAAAAATGACAGAAGACAATGTTAGACCGCCTGGAACTAGAGTCAGAGGTGACTGTGAGTCACCTGATGGTACCGGGAATCAAACTTGGGTCCTCTGGAAGAGCAGCAAGATCTCTCTAACTGCTGAGCCATCTCTCCAAAGCCTCCACCTCATTTTTTGACGCAGGGCCTCTGACTGTACATACAGCTCAGTGACCCTGCTGGACTGGCTGGACATTGAGCCCCTGGGACCCTCCTCCCTCTGCCTCCCCAGGAGTGGGGTTACAAGCATGCACTGTCAGGGCTGGCCTTTGTGGGCACACTGGAGATCTGAACACAGGTCCTCATATTTGTACAGCAAGCGCTTTACCTGCCGAGCCGCCTCTCCAGCCCAATACAATTGTTTTTAATATATGCTTTAAAAGCCTCCAGATTCTGTAACAGAGGAAAAAGATTTCACCTTGTGCCAGTATAGCGCAGTAGCTACGGTGGGCCCTAGAGCTAAACTGACCCATTTGAACCTGGGCCCTCCACCAGCTAGCAGGCGGCATAACTCTGAGCAAATAGCTTCTGGTGCTGTGCCTCGGTTTCCTAACTTTTAAATTGAGGGTGTTCCTAACACTTCCTGCTAAATAATGTCATCTGACTCAACCTAGCAATAGCTATCTATTTTTTTTTTTTTTGGTAGAAGTGATGCCACCATTTTGGATGTTGTAGAGTTTGTTTCCTGAGCAGTCTTTTGGATTAAGGCATCAGTACACTTTAGGAATGGATATTACAGTAATCGTCAGTGTTATTTAATAGAGAACTGGCCAAAAGAGAAGGGGTGGGTGCAGCCACTGACGCGGTGGGTTCAGATCATCGCCCCAATCGCTCAGTAGGTGTGTAGCTGTGCACACAGTTTCCCCTATCCTTGAATCCTCCCATATAAAGTATGAATATCTACTTATCATCTGTAAGAAAGGATGATAAGGTTACATAGCATGTGAATCACGTGGAAGCATGAATGACCTTGGCATTGGTGCATAGGTAATATGCCCTTCTCCTAAGGACATCTTACTCTTACACTTCCCACAGTTGACAGTACTTCTGACTTGGAAAAGCCATGCAGAAATTTCCAGTGAGAAACTGTAATGTTTTCTATCTCTTTGACTCAGTCAGGTCCATACTCAGCTCTCTGTATCTGTGGGTTCCCCATCTGTGGAGTCAGCCAGCCATGGATGGAAACATTTACCCCTGTCCTGAGCCTGTACACACTCTGTCCTGTCACACTGAGTATGTACACATGCTTTCCTGTCACCCTGAACATACACATACACACTTTCCTGTCACACTGAGCACACATGCATGCTTTCCTGACATATTGAGTAAGTACACAGCTTTCCTGTCACTGTCCTGTCTCAACTACTTAGCATCACATTGTAATAGATACTGTACAGCACCTAGAGATGATGGATTCTACAGTATACAGGTATCTGCAGGTAACTTGCAAAAGCTGTGCCTTTTTATATGAGGTACTCAAACATCAGATTTTAGTATATGGGGGGGTGTCCTAGAATCAGCTTTTTAGTTACTATCTATATGCACAAGTATACACAGAAGGTGGATTGCCCCTCACTCAGAATATCCTATATAACTCCAAACTGGAAATCATTTACAAATGTGTCTAATATGCTATGTGGTATATCACCTGTTGGAATGGGGAAAAACTTGTTTGAGTATTCAGTTACAAATCTCCAAATACAACAGAGCATGAACACAGGTTACAAATAGAAAACTATGTACCTATATGCATAGTTAATGGCTTCTGGCAAGAAAAGGGGACAGCTGTTATCCTTTCTTCAGGATTTCTTAAAGTTGTCCGATTTCCCATTTCATTTTAAAAACTTATGCTTTCTTGGATATTTATTGTACAAAAAGAAAACTCCAATGCAGAAGGCTCTATTTTGAGCCAGCTATAGTAACTTATGATTGTAATCACAGTGCTTGAGGGGGGGGAGCTGAGGCAAAAGATCACGAATTCATAGCTACCCTGGGCTATTATGTAGTGAGTTCTAGTCCAGCCTGGGCTACCTAGCAAAACCCTTTGCAGAAACAAAAAGAAAACAACCCGAGTTGCTGAGATGGCTCTGTAGATGAAAGTGCTTGTCACCAAGCCTGAGCTCAAGCCCCAGAACCTACCTGCTGGAAGAAGAGAACCTACTCTAGTCACACACATGCTGTGGCATGCATGAGCGTGTGTACACACATGCATTTGCACACATATAAGTAAATAATTAAAGTTATTAGAAACCCAAAAGCTAAAATTAAAAAAATTTTGAGAAAAAAAGCACTGTCTCCAGAGTTCCCCTCCCCCCCCACTTCTTACTGATATCGGCTGGCATATGGTCTCTCCACCATGTATGTCTGTGTTCTAGTGTGGAAATACTTTGATACTATGCATGTCTGTATTTTGGAAACCTGTTTTCTCCATCAAGGCTTCTTGAATCTTTCTTTCAATGCATGCTGACCTGACTCACACAGCTCCGACTTGCTCCCTGTGAATACCTGGGTCCGATTCCACCAGATCCACAGATTTGCCTAACTGCTTGTCTGCTGGTGCACATTTGAATTAAGTTTCACGAGTCAGAGCCAGGGGTTGGCTGTTTCTGTGACTCCGATTTCACTGGAACCCTTCTTGTGTACCTATCACCATGGCTACAGCTGTTCGCACACTGCACAGCAGAGTAGAGAGTTATGAAAGAGGATTGCTTGAAAACTGAGAATGTCTTGACCTCGGCCTAGGACCAGATGGATGCTTGCCAGCATTTTTCAGTTTATAATATTGGCTCATTCGTTCTCTCAACTAAACTGATTCGTGTATTCAGTTTTGTGCCAGATAAACTAGAAAGTCACACTTTCAAAAGAAGAAAACAATGGTGATGTCGTTCTGGCGCTCTATGAGCCTGAAGCCGGGAGGGGAGGAGACATAGTTGGTCATAGTTCCGAAAGTAAACTATGGCGTGAGGTCATCCCTGTGGTTCCAGGAGCTTTGACAGAAGAGCATGCTGGTCCATTTGAGTGGGGACAAAAGGTAGCACATGGTGTGAAGGGCAGGGAGGATGGCTCGTGGGAGGATAGAGCGGAATCAGAGAACTTCCGTTAGGTTGGTGTCCTGGAGCAAAAGCTCAGAGAGGGGAGGGGACATTGGTCTGTCCGTCCCTACAACTGGCCGCGTGGGTTCAGTTCTGCATAAAATCAGTCAGTTACAGTGTTCCGAATGAGCTCTGGTGGCAACTGCTTTGTGAGAGCTGAGCCTTTCCAGCTTGCGAGAGCCCAGAGAGTGAAATGGTGTCGTGTGCGCCCAGACAGAGGGTGAATGACTGAGTGAGTCACAGCCAGCAGGTGGCGGCGCATGCAGTTGTCCCTGTGGTTCCTGTCTGTCTGCCCTGGATTCACTTGACTAGTCCTCTGTGCCAGGCACTTGGCCTGTCCTCAAGGATCTTTGGCTTTAGTGGTGGAGGCTGGTGACTGTGCAGTGGTGCCTGTGTCTACAGGTGGAACGTCACGTTAGCAGTGCCTTATGACAGACGCTAGCAGCTACTCCATTTCTCTCACCCTCTGGTTGCAAATTGCCAACAAACAAACAAAAAAACCCAAAAAACCAATGAGGAAGTCTAAGAACTCTGCCCTCCCCAGAGAGGTCTCATGGGGCTTCAGCATGAGAAGCTGAACTCTGGTCTAAGGTCTCCGTGTAATTGGGTAACATTTCCTAAAGATCACAGCACAGCAGCCCTTGTTACTCCCTAATGTTTTTCTTTGACTTTCAGGCTTTCCTTGAACGATACCTCAGTGCTGGCCCCACCTTGCAGTATGACAAGGATCGCTGGCTCTCGACACAGTGGAGACTTATTAGTGACGAAGCTGTGACGAACGGGTTACGGGATGGAATTGTTTTCGTCCTTAAATGCTTGGACTTCAGCCTCGTAGTCAATGTGAAGAAAATCCCGTTCATCGTACTCTCTGAAGAGTTCATAGACCCCAAATCTCACAAGTTTGTTCTTCGCTTACAGTCTGAAACATCGGTTTGAATGTCTATATTTGTGGCTTTATGAAAAAAGAAGAATATATAGAGAGATATATATGTCTGGGGGAGTCCTTTTATAAAGATTTTTTAAATTTTTTCAATGCTGACTGAAGCTGGCAGATGATAGACCAGTATCCTTCGACCATCTGCACTTTATTTGGAAGGGAGCAGGAGATGTCCACCCTGACGAGTGACTGGTGGCATCTGTCTTTAATAGATGAGACTTCTGAAGAAGCTGTTCCCTGGACTTTCTGTGACAGCTGTAAACCAAAGTGTAGCTGCTGTGTCCTTGGGAGCCTTGCCTTACTGGTCCCTGCCTGTCGCCCAGAGCCACGTCCCCTGGTGCATCTGGTCGACCCCCTCACAGATTATAGGGGACTCAGTTTTATGGTTCAGGAAACCAGACACTACACATCCACACGTGTTTGTACACGCAATTATCCCATACCACCACACCATCCTGGGGAGTGGTAGGCAGTCCAGGAAATGCCCACCACCTGTATCTGTATCTTCGTTGCCTTAGATTCCACAGAGAAAGAGCTCTACAGAAAATGTGTACTGCTGGGTTGTAGCTGTTAAGTGATTTGCTTTCCATTTTCCAGAGAGAGAGAGACCTACTTGCCCTGTTCCTGGCCTGTTCCTCTGTTGGTGTGAAGCAGGTCTTCTCTAGTCCTGGGACTGCCCATCTGAACTCCATTGTAGCCTACTTTGAGCACCCAGACTACAGCCCTACCTGGTGGGCAGTCCTGGTGAGGCTAGCTTGGTTCTCCAGAGCTGACAGGGACTCAGTTTTCCAGTATGCCCACAAACTTTGCACAGCCTCTCCCTCTCCCAGTCTTTTTTCCAAAGTAAGCCCTGACCCTGGGGAGCCATTTAGCTGCAGAGCCCCCATTAAGCAGCAGCAGGAGCCTCATTACCCATTCTTCCTTAGCCCTGCTTCTCACAGACCAGGAGAGACCAATACTGTGACTCTCAGTCGGCAGGTGCCCCCTGGAGCCATCCAGTTTCCCAGGGAGACGAGTATTCACACAGCCCATGTGCCAAGCTGCCCTACCGCGGGAGACCAAACAGTGCCCACCAAGCTGGCAGCTACTCTGTCCCATCCCTGCGGTTTGTGCCTACGGTCACTGTGCAACGTACTGCAAGGGAATAGGCTACTCTGCCCTTGCTGTATAAATCGCCCTTAATTATTGGTCAGAAAGGAAAACGGGGTGCTGGGGAAAGGGAGAGTGGGGGGTCGGTGTTGCAATCCAGCAGGCCTCTTCTGGTTTTGTAGCTGGTTTCAGAGGACTATCCCCTTAAAGTCCTGTTTAGACATAGGTGCCTCCTGGCAGAGCCCTGTGGAGGGGAGTGTCCAAGGAGCCATGTCCTAAAACCTTTAAGTAGGCTTTCTTGGTCTCTCTTTGCCTGCCGATATCTGAAGCAATGATTCCCCAAGTATTCACTCTTTCCTTTCCCGGCTTCAGGGATCCTGTTTCAGGAAAGGAGAACACTGTCATCTCTGGGCCCATGCTTGTGTAGCCTTCCCATTTATACATTCCATAAATCACACTTTTATTTGTCATTAAAAAATTAAAATTCTCTTGTGATATTTGTAATATACCTTTACTTGGAAACGCAAGCGTTCTTCTTCACTTCGTGGCTTTTAGCTAAGGAAGGAGAATCGCATGGGCGAGGCACAGAGCCAAGGTGGCCCGTGTTAATAGCTTGGCTCTGAGGCACACCTGGTGGAACCACGGTGCTTTGGTCCTGGTTTTTCCCTTTAGGCCCCTTCTGACTGGAAGTTCCTCATGATGTCTTTCTCAGGAATATTTTAGGAGATAAGGTAAGGGATGGGTAGTCTGTGAGAGACTGTCTCTGTGTGGAGGGTGACGTCACAGAGTAGCTGCTCAGCCACAAATACTGTGCCATAGATGTAAGTAATATGGCGTTAAATGTAGCACTACTCACCAGTGCTTTAAAATACTGTGCTTCCAACACTGTCTTAAATTGTGGGTCTCTAAGGGGTTAAATTGGAGTTATGTATTGGTATGTGCATTCCCAGCAGGGCAAGAAAGTTTTAAATTAAGAAGTTAATTTATTTTCTCTCCTGCCCCCTCTCCCTCTATGACTCTTTGCATAGTAGAATTTCAGACTTCCTGAAATTATTGCTTTGGTTGTAAATTGAATATCGATTTTTTTCAAAACATGAAGTTTGCATTGATTCCTTGCTGAAAGGAAAACAAAACCAAGGGCAAATTAAGCTCTTGTGCTCCCAGCACCCTGACAGCTCAGGTTGCTAGTCAAGTGGGAACCACGTGAATGCTATTTTAAAAAGAAATGTAAAGGTGCAGAAAGCTGCGTCTCACAATCGAAGACAATAAATGTTTATGTCATTTCTTGGACCCCATAGCCTATTATTATTAATGGATATAAACTGTGCCCTAAGGCTAGTAGGATGTACGATCCTATTAGATTACACAAGATTCCATTACCTTAAATACTTATAGATTTTTCCCCTATAACTTTCAACCTAAGTTAGTAAAATTCTAACATTAAATGTGAAAGAACTCAGTGCAGCGTGTATGTCCAATATTGCTGTGATTCTACAAAATTAGACAACTTTTGTTCAAAAGTGTGTGCTTTAAAAAAAGGTAGTCTTTAGTAGTCCATGAATTGACTTCAAAAAGTCTGCACCATGGGGGTTAGAATAGATTTTAAAGTTACAAGTCTTATTCATCCTTAGGTTATCCATGATATAGGCTAAAGTTCATAAAGTAAGCCTCAGAGAAAATGCTTAACCGTCATTTCCTCCCAACCATTATTGTCTCCCTTTCTCCCTCTGACTCTTCCTTTTGAGATCTGCAAGAAGACAGATTCTTTACAGTAGAAAGTGTGATTTCAGTGGCCTGGGTATGTTCATCACAATTCGTTGTTAGGAGCATGGGGCTCCTTTCTACGAATGGGGAGACTGGCCATCCTAGGGTCTTAGAAGGCCTTACAGTACCCACTCTTGCCACCTCTTGAGTTAGAGGTGCTCCTTGCAGTGCCCTCTTCTTGAATGCATGGATTAAATGTAACACCGAGCTTTGTTAGGGTGACTACGGCTATGATGAAGCACATGACCAAAGCTCTTAGGGAGGAAATGGTTCATTTGGCTTATGCTTCCACATCACAGTTCATCATTAAATGAAGCCAGGGCAGGAACCTGGTGGCAGGAACTAATGCAGAGGCCATGGAGGCCGGGAAGAAGTGCTGCTTACTGGCTTGGTCCTCATGGCTTGCTCAGCGTGCTTTCTGATAGAACCCAGGACCACCAGCCCAGTGGTGGTCCCACCCGCAATGGGACCTCCTCCATGGATCACTAAGAAAATGCCCTCAGGCAGGTCTTACAGAGGAATTTCTCAGTTGAGGCTCCCTCCTCTCTGATAACTCTAGCTTGTGTCAAGTTGACATCCAACTAGCTGGTGCTGAGCTCTATCTGTAAGCTACTATCCACATATAGTCATAGAAATTAGCTACCCACTCCTCCTCACTGCCAATCATTGACCCAGTGAAACAACAAAGTGAAGTCCTCCTTGGTTTACTCTCTTTGACCCTGGCCCTGCTGTGCAGACTCCTTATATGTAGATGTGAATCACAGAAGGGATGGCTGGTTTCTGCCTGTATTTCTGAGTGTGTGTTGCCAGGTAGACATGTTGCTTGCCTGTTGGTGGTCATAACATTCATGTGACCAGTGACAAACCGGTGTGTCTCATTTGTACATGTGTGTATTACTGAGCCTGTAAGGGTCTACATCTCTGTTCAAGAGAGTTCCTCCACTCCCAGATTTTGGAAGGTTACTCTAAGCTGGCTCCTTGTCTGTGTTCTTCTTTATCCTTTACACCGGCCTCTCACTGAGAAGATGTCTGTGGGCCTGTTGTCACCCTGCAGGCATGCCTGTTACATTTGTTCTTGCGTTAGGAACTCTGTGACCTGCAAACGGAAGGGCAAATTCTATGGGGGTTACTGCTTAAGCCTCACCACTCTGGAAGCCTCCTGTGCATTTATTAACATAACTTTTAAAAGAAACAACCAATGATTAGTTATGGAAATTTACAGGAATGTCTATATGATCACTTAGAGAGTTCTGCAGCGGAGACCCTACAATTATAAAACGGTATAAAGTACTTCTGAGTAGTGTTTGCTCTTTATGGATCTTGTTACATCACCAAAATGAAATCACTACTGTGAATTTACTACTATGTAACCTTGTCATATCCCATTATAAATAAAACATGCCTTGTTTTTAAGCCCGGATGCAGTTCTTGACTGGTACTCGGCAGAGTGTGAGCTAACCCCAGTTCAACCCCACTGAAAGCATCTTATCGAACTTGAATCAGATGCTCAGAAAATCAGCTTTGGGACCACATTTTTTGATTAATTTTTGTTTTGGGGTAGTGTGTAGAGTGATGGGTTTCATTGTGACATCATTCAAACAAAAATGAATGGAGTCCCCATTTTGACAAACCATTGCATTTTGTCACAGAAGGGGGCAGGCAGGAAAGGGAAAGGTGCTGATACTCTCCAGGTGTAATAATAAGTCAGGTCTGCTCTGTGCAGCTTCTCCCTCCCCCTTGTCTGAATTGGGGATCCTTTGATTTGAATGTGACAGAGAAAGATGGGAGAAGAGACTTGCAGGGGACTCCTGCCTGGGATTTCAGACCAGCCCTTAGGAGGGCCAGGCCCTTCTGCCCACCACAGAGCATGAGCTAAGTGGTTTGGCATTTCTGGGTGTGGAGGCGGGACCTGGAGACAACAACTTTGAACCAGAACCTGAGGCAGAGAATTCCTCAGGAGATAGGTCATTTCTTTCACATTGGGCTTTTACTGTTTGGTCCCATGGGAAGCTTCTCTACCAGGCTGGCCCACTGGGATACAGAATGGGGAAAACTGAAGAAGCCTCTCTGCCCTCCTGGGAGAGCCCTAACCTGCTGGGGTTGAGTTGCTGCAGTGTTGCTCACAACAGCCAGGGCCATTGGCCTCCAACCCCTGCCTGCCGTTGCTAGGCCAGAGCAAGAGACTCACCAGGGCCTTGGGCCCAGGGGCCTGAACTGGCTTTTTCTGGTGGGAGGGTCAAGTTAGCCCAGCAGAGGTGGGATAAGGAATTGGTTGTAGCCAGCCTGGAGCATGGGGATCTGGGGCTCTTGGTCTGACCCCTTGACTCCATGTCCTCAGCTTCTGCACACTTCCCCATATTTACCCTTTGGACTGTGGGCAGAATACACCAAAATAGAACCCAGAGGTCAAGAAGAAAGAGCAGAAGACCTGTTTTCCCTCCATCCCACCGTCTGTAAGTTACAGTTCAGTTGTGCTGTTTAGCAGAAGATGGGAGGAGACGGATGGTGCTCACATGGCCACTGTGCTGGGAGTTCAGATGAATTCCCAAAGGTGAACAGGGAGTGAAAACGACTGAATGGAAATGCGAGCTTAGGTCGTGGAGTCCTCCATGCAGTCCCCTTTGACCTCAGTCACCCAGTTTGCTTCCCCTATGAAATGCACCTCTCTGGTGAATTATTGTGGAATCAAGCTTCTCAACACTGTAGATTCCTGGAGCCTGAGGCAGTGCAGGCGGGGTGCTTTCTCAGAAAGTCGGATGACTTGTTCTCATCTAGATGAATAAAGATGCTTTTGTATTAACTCCTGGGGACAAACGTAGCGACCTCGCAGCAGGCTTTTATCTGCGTCTTTTGGCTCTGAAATGGCATTTGGATTAGAGCATTTGTGTATGCAGTGCAGCTGGCTTTGCCTGTGTTTCCGTTTCTCTGAGCATTCAGGCGTGGCCAGGTGTGTTCACTGTGAATTTGCTCATTGTGTGGGAGAGCAGTTCTCAGCCTTCCTAATGCTGTGACCCTTTAATACAGTTCTTCTTGTTCTGGTGACCTCAACCATAAAATTATCTTTGTTACTACTTCATAGCTGTAATTTTGCTACTGTTATTAATTGTAATGTAAATGTCTGTGTTTTCCAGTGATCTTAAGTGACCCCTGTAAGAGGTTAGTTTGACAAGCCCCAAAGGTCTCAACCCAGAGGTTGAGAACCACTGATGTAGTAGTTTTCAAAGCCCCAGAAGCATCAAATGACAGACCTTTGCCCCGGGAATTAGTTAGGGCATTGAGACACCTGACCCACAATGACAAGTTCAGTTCAACTTGCATTATAAACAATATAGCCGGAAGCATGATGTTTCTATCATAGAAGCCAGGAAGGGAGATTGGCCATTGCTTTCAGATACTATTGCCTCTCAGCTATACACATAAAAGAATAGTCATTTTATATTGATCATTGATCCTTAAAATGTGGGTATAAAAAATCTAATGTTAATAATATCTAATTTTCATGATGATTACTCCAGGGTTTAAATTGTCAGCTCCTCTGGAATCCCAAAATTATGACCTGCTTAACCAAAGTTCATTTCTAAGTTGTCACCGATGAGAACAACTATTTCACAGAGTATAGGAAACCAGTAAGGATGCAATAATGACAGACACTGTCCCACAGGGCGAATGGACTGGATACTGGGGAGGACCAGAGATGTCTGGGCCAGGCCTTAGGAGAGAAGCTGTCTGACAGTTGCTTTTGTAAGCAGGAATTTTCATCTCTGAATTTTGAACCCAGAATCTATCCTTATCTAGTAGAGTAAACAATACAAAATATGTGGTTATGAACCATATTCTTTTTGAATAGTTCATATTGTGCTTTTTAACCAATAAGGGCAGTTTCTGCCTAGCCTGTACTTAGAGTCATCAGATACAACATGTATATGACTGGGGTGATTGAAAGAAAATTACTCCCAAAGGGAATGGCACTATTAGAAGGTGTGGCCTTGTTAGGGTAGGTGTGATTTTCTTGTTGGAGGAAATGTCACTATGAAGGTGGGCTTTGAGTTCTCATATATGCTCAAGATACCACCCAGAGTCTCAGTCCACTTCCTGTTGCTTGCAAGATGTAGAATACTCGGTTACTCCTTGAACACCATGCCTGCCTACACACCAACATGTTGCATCATGATAATAATGTACTAAACCTCTGAAAATGAAAGCCGCCCCAATTAACGTCTTTCCTTCATAAGAGTTGCTGTGGTCATGGTGTCTCTTCATAGCAATAGAAACCCTAACTAAGATCATGATGATGCCAGATGTATGCTGCCTCATTGATTGGGTTGTGTGCTCTAACTGGACATTTCTGAATATGTAAATTAATGAATTACATGACTGGTAGTCATGTGCACAAGTCCCCTTGTTTCTCTAATGTTTGTTCTGTGAAATTACCTCTCATCACCAGACAAGGCTGGTGTCTACCATGGATACACTGTACCTAGTAGATAACGTTGTTTGGTTTTCTCTTGGGTCCTCCATTGATGCCCTCATCCCTTCCTGATTAACTATAAAACATTTTACATATTACATATGCTATAAACTTGAAAGATAAATGGAGATCCCAAATTGTGTACTGTCTCCCTTTCTGATGTAACTATTTTAGCTTTAAGCTCTGCTCTCTTTTCAGGGAACATTTTGATCTTGATTTGATTTTCTGACAATTTCACGTTTCCATGAAAAGTGGATTATGAGAGAGGAGGGATGGTCATGAAGGGCAATGATCACTGTGATGAAAATGAACAGTCACTGGTCATTTTATGGGGAGGAAAATTCTAAATGAATATATAGTGAAAGATAAAATCTGAGGCAACTCCAAAACCTGGAGAGGAAGCCAATGTTTTTAGTAAATTGAGTAAAATACATATTTGAGACAAGGAAAGTGGGAAAACACTGTCACACCCTGGATAGGGGTGAGAGGTGCACCGTCAATTGTGTTTGGTAATTCATCTTACCTTGGTGATTGGTTTTAAGTTACTAACTTACTGCAGATGAGGGAACTAGATTATTTGATGAAGAAATGTTGATGCTGGCAGTTTCTACACTCAGCTGCCCTTCACTCGTATGGAATGTTGATAGCACACAACTTCTCACCAGTTGCATGGACAGGGTTCAGAGAAAGCAATTGATTCAAAGATACTTATCGTATAGATTAATGATAAGCTGTTTCCTTGGGCCACCAGCCCAGATGTTCACAGTTCATAAGTTCACAAGCAAACCCTGCTGGGACAAAAAATTAAAGCCACATGCAGACAGAAGCCAACAGATCTTTTCTGTGTAGTTATAGAGTATGGGGGAGTTTTGAGAATCTCAGATGATAAACTATCATATTAAAGAAATGGAATGAAGATACCAGGACAGCAGTAGGTAAAGCCCAGAGCAAGAGGCAGGTCCTGCTGGCAGTAGAGTACACAGGCAGGCTGTCATTCACTGTTAGTGTCAATTAAGTCGTGTGAGCATCCTTTAGTTACACAGGCTCATGTTGCTATAGATAGTCCAAAATGATAGTTGACTTTTGGCTCTGCTTCCTGGGTCCATGTCCAATTGTGTTTCTGTGGTCTCAGACTTCATATTTCAGGAAATACAAAGATGCATTTTTCAGAACTGAAGCCGAGAACTTCAAACATTTTTTTCCTCTGTTGTTTCTTTGCTCAGCTGACACATACACTTCATCATTCTTGCCTAATCTATATACAGCAAAGTTTAGGAGTCTATTGGTATATAGACTATTAAAGAGTCTACAGCCTTTTACTGACTGAGTGAATGAGAGCACAAAGTACACTCAACACCAAACCACTGACTACAAACTAATCACACGGGATTATTTAGGAGTGTTAGGGGTCAATGGGAGTTCCAGAGTTATCACTCAGATTTGAAGTTAACACTAAAGAGTTCAGATTGTAAAACTATGGAATTGATTCTAAAGACTCCTCTTAATCCATCTTGCAAATATTTAGGTCTGCTAGGTGGCTGTGGTCATCCCATTTCCAGACAGTATGACACTTACATGCTCGTTCCCAGGCTGCTGCTCTGTCCCTCACAAAGGAAGGCTGTGTTCCTGAAGGACTTTAAGAACTCGAGGGAAACGATTATCCTGCACCACAAATGTCCTCGCTAAGTCAAGGAAATTGTATGGGCCTGTTTCTGTAGCAGGCGGCTCTCCTAAGCCAATCCAAGCAGCTGATAGCATGCTGCCAAAAGCTATTTGGTTAAGATTCACTTTCAATAAACACTAGGTTTATTCTGTGTGTTTTTAATAGGGATAATAGTCATTAAAGTCAATTTGTATCATGATACAAAGTTATCACAAAATGTATTACTTGCCTACCCAAACTTGGGCAGAGTAGAAATGAGTAAGCCAGTCTTTCCCCTAAGGT